AAGGGACATGGAAAAGCTTCCTTACCAGATGAGATGGAGAAGCATGTGTTGATTTGCCGCATGAAGGAGAAGAATCCTAACCTCCATACACGCGATGTTCGAAGCAGGCCTAGAGAAATCGCCATTGATGAACAACAACAACAACAACAGAAAAATCGTTCGCAAATAAAAAAACTTGAGAAATCTCAACGATTACCTTTCCGAGATATTGCTAACCTTGTTCATAACTAAATTTGAACGAACTCCTCGTTAGCTCAACGAAATTTAACTTAATTTTTATGCATTGATTTATTTCCTGAAGTTGTACATGCATTTTCAGTCTTTACCCTTTATAATAATTTAAAGATTTGCAAATCCGAACCTATTCCGAGGAAAAGCCATCTCGAACAAAAATCGTACGTATTTATAATATATATATATGAATTTAAATAAGATTCGAACTCACCCTCTTTTAATTTGAAATATATGTCAATTATCGTTAACTTATACCTGTGGACGGTTTGAATTTTAATTTGAAAGATAAAAATGAACAGAAAAATTTTATAAATAATTAACATTATCTAAAATTTACTCACTCTACTAATTCAACAATTAGTGAAGCACTCTCTTAAATCTCAATTTGAATGATTTTAAATTTTACTAGTATAACTTAATTAGTATTTGAATGTTTTTTACAACTTTTTAGTCCAGATCGAAATGGGTCAACGTAGGCAAGTGAGACAAACTTGAGTGTTACTCGCACAACATCCAAGTCAGTTTAGTTCGAATTAAAATGTTATACTTTGATAGGAGAGAAACACTCAATAGTAGGTGGTGCATCCGACATGCTGGATGCTATTTGATCGACCATCCAATCATGAAAAATATTTAAATTACACGATAAAAATTATTAATATTAATATATTATACTCATGTTAGTAATATTTTTTACATTTTATCAATTTATTATGTAATACTACGGCATATCGATACACCTTCAATATCAACATAAAATGACCTCTCAATTTTTTTTATTTTAATAAATTATATGTTTGTACATTATTAATAAGTTTTTTTTTTTGTTTTAGAAAGTATGATAGATTTTAACATAAGCCAAATTATAAATATACATTTTGGGAAATTTTTGAAAATTTTTAGTGGACAATAGCTTTGTTTTAAAAATATTATTTTAAAAAAAAATCATCACACATATAATATTTAAAAAAAATAATTACAAAGTAATCATTTTCTTGAGCTTATAAATCATTTATTGTGGAGATAGAATTCAAACTGAGTACTGTTTTTGTTATGAAATAGATATTTTAATCGGATCAACAATCACTATACTGTTTTTTATGACTAATACATTTTTATTTCTTATCTAGAAAAAAAAAAGACCAAACTCCAATTATAAGAGAGAGAAAAGGTGACGATTATAATTTATTTTCTATCCTAGCGATTTTTATTTCAGATGTTTCATTTGAGATTCAGTTTTAATCTATTAAGAGATAATTAAACTAATCTACTTGTAATTATTTTTTCTATAATGGGCATTTTAAAATCATCTCTAATTTTTTTGGTTTACTTTAATCCTAAATTTTTATGGTTGTTTTTCTTAGTCTCTAAGTTTTTTTCATTTTGTAATTATATATCTGAATTTTAAATTTTCTAAATAATAAATTAAATTTCAAATTTTATTTTACCTACTTGTTTCATCAAATTTAATCAATGTCAAAACAATTTTACTAGTGGTGTGAGCTTATTAAAATAAAATCCCAAAGTGCACAAATGTGAACATTTTTCACATGTTAACTCAATAGATACTATTATAATAATGTTTATAATAAATTTGTAATTCATACTTTGAGTTTATAGTTAAAATTAAAAAACAAAAATCTTATTTTGAAGTTTGTTTAATAATTTTAAATCATTTTAAAAAGATGAGAACAATAATAAATAAATTTTCAATGAACAAATTAATAAAATAATATTAACTTTTAATCAATTAATCAGTAGTATATATTTTAATAATAATTATTACTACTCTTCCATAGATATTTCATTACAATACAATACAATTCAAATAATTAAAATTAATAATTACCTTTCTAAAAATAATAAATTTAAATTGTTGGGTGGCATGAAGCAAATTTAACAAAAGAGTTTACTCGGTAGTAAATTTTGGTTCAAGAATTATATTTGAGAACTTCATCCAATTATAAACCTAAATCTAATTTTTATACGTCTCCAAATTAATAAATCGTGTCAAAAATAAAAAATTAAATCGAGTTAAGGTGTCGGCAAACTAGTGGCATTAGTATACACATTTAAATTTGATAGATTATTTTTGTTATTTGCGGATCAAATCTTACTATTCAGTGGATAAAAAATGTCCCACATATTTTTGGGATGAGTACAATCTCACTTATGCACTTTCTTCTATTTTCCTTTTTTTTTTTGTTTTTTTTGAGATATCTTCTATTTTCCTTTTGTGTACAAATAGTTTTTTTTTCTTTTTTAGAGTGTTTTTGTGTACAAATAGTTGGAGAATGATACGGTTGTCATATTTTATTCCATATGGTGCCTCGTCTTCATTGATCCATATTCACAACAGAAATTTAAATTTTAAATACATAATGAAAATTTTGTAAAAACAAGGATTAAAATGAAGGAGTTAGCTCGTGCAGCAAGGCACGAGGTGTGCATCATCAGGGAGCAGGGGCCGACCTGCCCAATCACCTTCGACGGTGCAGACATGGAGGAGGTCCACCTGCCCCACAATGATGCACTTGTGATTGCTCCCTTGATTGATCATGTGGTGGTCAGGAGAGTGCTGGTAGACGGGGGCGCATCCGCTAACATCCTGTCCTTACCGACCTACCTCGCCTTGGGATGGACGAGGTCGCAATTGAAGAGAAGCCCGACACCGCTGGTTGGGTTCTCTGGAGAATCGGTCATCCTAGAGGGTTGCATCGACTTGCCGGTCACGCTGGGGCAGGACCAAACTCGGGTCACTCAAATGGCCGAGTTCGTGGTAATTGACGGTAGATCGGCCTATAACGCCATCTTTGGGCGACCCATCATCCACTCATTTCGGGCCATTCCCTCAACACTTCATCAAGTTTTGAAGTATCCCACCACCAATGGCGTGGGCACGGTCCGAGGGGAACAGGCCGCTTCGAGGGAGTGTTATGCCTCCGCACTCAAAGGCTCATCGGTCTGCGCCCTCGAAACTCTCGCCGGCAGGGATGGGCCGCTCGAGTTCGAGGCCGACC